TCACACACATTTTCTTAATATATGCTTTATAGCCTCGCACACATGCAAGGGAACATCAATACTTGACACTGGTATTATTGACCTTTGACACAAAAGTCCAGAAATGCCCCCACAAGGCAGCTCTTTCTGTAAATTTAACGCAAAGGCAAGAATACATTTTTAATAGAAATTTCCCAAATCTAGCAGGAAGTATTCACAACCCCAACACACTCGTTCTAGTATTCCTGTATATAAGATCAGAGTTAAAACACAATACAATAAATAAATCTATAAATGTTGTTGTTTTTATATGTCCTATCTACTCAAGTAGTTTATTTCTACTGAACGTGTTTACATATAATAACTTGCAAACGTAGCAAATGCTTATTTTATCGTGAACTTCTGGCTCAAGAGGAAACAGCTGCAATGGGGAGGCTCGGCATTTGTAAATAAATAATTTAAACCCCCCCCCCCCCTTCAGCCAGCCTCCCTGCAATCCTGGGCTTTTGATGTGCCAGACATTATAAACCGACTACCGATCTCAAACCTGTTTGCTTACGGATTGTGTTTAAGATTTTAACAAAACAACGTAAAAATAAAATCAGATTTGACTTCATTGCGCATATAAAGGCGATATTTTGCTCAAACTTAGGTGGAATTATGTACCGATGCGATGGGAACTACAAACCCGATTGGGGTTTCTGTTATCGACTCATCGAGCCTGGTGAAATCCGCCTGACGGTCTGTCACATCTCACGCTGACACCAGGCGAACACTGGGCTCACACAGGGCGCACAATAATATCGACAGATAGAGGTACAGCGGAGGAGAGCGCACCGGAGGTACGTCTTTACGAACCAAATAAGTACCCAGGCCAGGACGAACAGACCCGGTTTCAGCTGTAGATTCTGAGGCGGTGTCATCCCCTTAAACCGTGTTAATTTTAGCTCTGGTTCTTCTTTGTAACGTTAGATTGATTACTTTTTTTTTTTTAGTCTTTCTCGCTGCGCTTCCGTTTCTCGTCTTCACAGCTGGGGAAACACAACCGGCTTATCGTAACGGTACGAAATAACAATTACCAAGTAATTTTTTTTAAAACGTATGGACGCCTTTTTTCGTAACAGTCGAGCATTTTAAAGGGATTCGAGGCGTGGGTGGTTAGCTACGGGTTTTTTTCTTCTCCGTGTCCTCGCTGGAGGAGGGGTTCGGAAAGGCTTGCCAAGCTAGCGAGCGACATTACGCAGAGCCTGGCTTAACAAGTTTAAATGGCGGTTAAAGTGTATGAAGTTGTCTCAAACTAAAGTCGGGGATAAACACGAATAGTTAAAATATATATATGCTCTGAGATAACTGTTGTTCCGACTAGAAAAGCCCATTTTTTCTGTATCGCACTAAGGTTAGCATCTTATGCTAGCTTAGCTGTGGTCGGTAGACGTGAAGAAAACCTTTTCCTGCGCGCTCTCATCGTCCACGTTTATTGAATATATATTTGCATTTATTTCGTGTTTATTTGTTCAACATATGTTTTAACGTACCACGGATGTTTTGACGTTAGTTGTTCGACCAGTTTTAGCTCATTTAAGCCAGGGGCACGGATTCAAAACAACTTATTGGTGAATTAAACTGCAGCTGCGTTTCGTTTGGAGGCTCGGTTTAACTTTTATTTTATTTTTTTTATTATTTAGCCTCTAAAAAGCTGCTGCTGCTGCGAGAGGAAACGACGAAATTTTTTAAAAAAAGGAGGAGAAAAAAAAAAAAAAAACAGAGGAAATCCCCCGAAAGGAAATGCCAATCGCAGCCACCGGACAACCATCGACCCGGGAGCCCAGAGTTTGCCCCCGGCTGCCCTCCACCCCGGAGCCTGTCCCCAAAGGGGCTGATTTATTCGACGAGGCGGGGGCGGCGGAGCGTTCAGACTACGGAGGCGCGGAGGGGGGCCGAGGACTCGGGGGCTACAGCGGGGCGAGGAGCTTTGCACAACCGACCACCGGCTCTCCGCCGCAGTCCCCAGCCGCGACCTCCTCCTTCTTCCTCCACCTCCCTCACCCCCACCAAGTGGCCATGGAGCCCCCCAGGACTCGGTCGCGCTCCCGCTCCGGATACTACCAGCAGCAGTTCGGCGTCGGGAACAGCGGCGGAGGGACGGTGTCCAACCCGCAGCAGCAGCAGCACGGTGCCGGCTGCGCACCGCTCGGAGCTCACGGCGACCTCTCGGAGAACCAGCAGCGACCACAAGGGAGCACGCCCCCCCCCGGGATTCAGAGGTTCCCCTCTCATCCCGGAGTCCATCACATCCCAGTGGCGGGTAAGAGTCTCCAGTTATTAGTAAACTGTTACCAAAGATGCTTTCATCACTTTTTAGTTTTCTCATCTCGTCAAAGTCAACTTTAAAACAGCAGCTACCAAAATCAATGGGAGTAATTTCATGGAAACATTTATTTAAATGATATAAGGGAAGTCTGAGATTGTATGGCGGTATTGGTTCTCTGCATTTTACCTATCCCACCTAGATACACCCAGGTGGAGCAGTGGGCAGCTATGTGGCTGCCCAGGGCGCATTTAGGGATTGGGTGTCTTGCTCAGAGAAATGGCTGTGGATCAAGCCTGGGGCTTCTGGTGTGGGGATCGGTTGCTCTGCCTCTACCCCGTCTCGGCCCCTCAGTAGCGTACTGGAAATTAATTAAAAGCATCAAAAGAAAAGCAGAGAAACACAGAGCAGTAAAAATTTAAATAGAGTCACACTGTGTAAAAAGCCAGAGAAAACAGATGTTTTTAAAAGAGATTTAAAAACAGGAAGTGGAGTGTCTAATGTTAAAGGGGGCGCAGATTGTTTCAAAGTTTGGGGCCCAGACTGGAAAAAGCCCCATCACCTCCGAGCTTCAATCTTGTTTTTGGAACAGCCAAAAGCAGCTGGTCGGATGATCTCAGGGCCCAAGACGGATCGTGGTTCCAGTAGCTCATATGAGGGTGCAAGGCCATTAAGGCACTTACAGGTTAGCAGGAGAATTTTAAAATCAATTCTGGTACGTACAGGGAGCCAGTGAAGGGAGGACAAAACTGGTGAAATGTGATCAAACCAACGAGTTCCTGTTATCAAGACGAAACAAAAAGTAATTCACAAAATCCGCACCGTCTTTCAATTAAAAGTTCGTAAACATTTGCGACCGGCTGTTTGTTTCTTTACAGAAACAGCTGATTGAAAATCAAAACCTGAACATTCGTCCCAAAGGGAAAAAGGCTCGTGTTACAACAACGTTTATATAAAAGTAGTCCAAATTACAACATGCAGAACAAACTGAAGATTTAAAAACAAGTAGAGCATGAGTTAAACAGATGAATAATTCCAGTAAAGTAAAATAAGTTGTGTACAGGAGTAAATGTTAAACTTACCTGTCCAGCAGGTTTTTCAAAAGCCATGTGTTAAAGCAGATCTGACTCTAGAGCTCTCTGCCACGCTGCTTGAGCCCAATATTTATTCACGACAGCCGTCTTATCCTTAGTGTTGTTTTGATTTTTTCATTTAGCAGCCGATTCACTCATATTTCCACCTAAACGTCCTCTCTGAGATTACTCTTGTCCAGGTCCAACATATTTGTTTACCTACACAGAGTAAAGAGTCTGATGTAAGGCGATCACATGACTCAAGCTTCTAGGAGGTTTGGATTCAGCCAAGAGTTTGTTTACATTTAGTGTAGACCCACATTTTAGACGTTCATACCTAAAAATACTACCAGAGTTCAAACTGCACCACTTTATATAAGTTCAGCATAACCTTTTTGTTTGATTTCGTGCGTTGCAATGAGCACCTTTAAATGGATGAAAGTGTGGGTGTTTTTTTTAGAAACGCAGTTAAGTGAGGGAGGGGACTGCCCTGGGGTTGAAATGACAGTGGGTGTGCATGTGTTAAGACACTTGGTGCACTTTAATTAGATGGGGTGCTGTAAGTGCTTGCCTCTGAGGTGTAGTATAAATGTGGTGCAGAGCAGTACTGTAGCTGAAATGAACAACGGCAGTCTGTGGCACAAACTGGGGCAGCCTCAAGCCGGCAGATTTGCTAAGAATATGTAGGAAACCACAGTGCATTTCTTAAGGCGCTGTGACACGTCTACCTTTAGTCAATTATACAAATATTGATGTAGCTAGGTAACAAGCTGCACAATGTGCTCAGGCTGAGCTACCCCAGTCATGGTCTTTTCTTGTTTTTTTAATATTCCCATACGTTTGTGGAATAAAAATAAACTTTGTGCAAAGCAAAGGGTACATTACCACAGAGTTTGATCAGATTAATACGGCTTTGATTTGCACAATTCAGGGGGCTGTGACGCGATTATAAAACAGGTTTCAATGCGTTTCTCTTATCTGGAAACTAAAATGACTGTGGCTTATTTTACATAAATAAATGCTGATTTCTATATTGTTCGTGCATAATAAATATTTCACAATATGTAAAAACAACTATTAATTACAGGCTGTTGACCAACAATTAGCATAGATTTTAACTAATAACTGTAAACGCCATAGAAAAGCATGATTATGTTTGTGCTCGTCACCGGAATTTTTTTACACAAATTGAACTTTTTGAAGTCATTTAACCTCCAGTTATATTTACTGTCATGTATTCTTCAGGCTTCAGTGACAAAAACAGATCTGAAACCACTAAGCTTTACTGCAGCATGTTTCAACTATAGGAACCTACAGTAATCCTGCAATAGGACAAATAGTATTCTAAATCTTGACTTGAATCTTAAAGCAAGAGAGTCGACTAACATAAATGGTAGAAGGATCGCAATAATTTCTTTAGCAGATGCATTTTCTGTTTGGTGTAAGGGGATACTGAGTTTTACCCATAGCTACCAGGTTACCTATGGTTTGGTGTTTCGTGCTGCAAAGCTGAACTTGTTGAGTTTGTGTGGACTGGAGCGGGGCGTTGAAAACAAGTGAGGGCACTCTTCTCACAGCAACTGCAGCGCAGTGAACCATGTAACATGGAAACATCACAGCTAGAGTTTCATTTTCTCTGAGGCCACGGGAGAGATAATTTTGTTTAAAGCTAAATAGCACACCTGTGAGCTTTAGAGGGATGGAAACACGGCTTGCTAGTTGTGCCCTTTGCTATTTTCAGGGAGTTTTTATTAGAGTCAAGTTTCTGGATTAAGTGGATGCACATTTTTAAATTATTTTGAAAGTGTTTAAGCAAACACCAGTTATAAAAATGAACAAGCTAAATAGAAATAAATGTATTTAATTTTTCTAATCACTTCACAAGACAAACAGCGTCATCATTTTGCTCACCAAACAACATGGCAGGGTTGGCTCGGCTCAGTCGTTGCATCCAAGACATCTAATCCAACGACACATTTGTTTACTAATTGTAATTTCACCTAAAGTCGACAGGAAATCTGTCTTTTGATTTTTCAGACCTCCTTAAACAAAAAGTATCGGTGAAACGTGAGCGCTCTCAACAACCAAGCGGCATTTATTTGAGACTGGAATTACCTGTCCTGCAGAGTTTGAGTGAAAATGGAGCACCTGAACTCCCATAAACAAACAAAAGGCTTCCATTTGTGTTTATGTTGAGCAGATTATAGATGAACTGAAATATAGGTATAGTTTGCCACATCACCAACGTTGTACACACCATTTGAGTTCATACGCTGTCTGTACACCTTTTAATTTTTTGTAGTCTGACTTATTTACGATTTTGAAGGATTTTTTTAATCATTAATTTTATTTCCATCCTAACTAAATTAGTTTTAAAGAAGAATGCATTGCCTAGACATTTCAGACGATATATCTGGTCTGATTTCAACAAGACATAAAAACCCACACAACATAAAAATCATACATTTTAGAGAGATGGGCGTTGAGTGCGTCTACAATTTTGTGTTTGTGAAACCCAAAGGGTCTAAAAGCAGAAAATAGCCCTTTTCTCTTGTGCACCGCTGTCCAGGAAAGCCAAGATGTTCTGAAGGTTGAATATGTTTGAACACATTTTATTTCTGCATTCAGTCCTGCTTTCTTGAGAACTTTTTTTGCCCACTCCTCTTTTTAAACCTTCTTAAAAAGTGGGCGTGACAGTGTGTGGACATAGCAAGTTGTTTAAAACATTTACCACAAGTCAATAGATGCTTGTTTGTAAAATTCAGAGCTTTTCTTTATTTTTTTGTATTTAGCTGACTATGTTTTTTTGTTTAACTATATCTTTGCTATTGAACTCGACACACTTTCACATCCATTTGTTGTTAAGGACGTCCTAATGGAGTCGTCTCTGTTCTGAGCCATTTAGGTTTGACTGTCTGACATTTTTGAAAAACTTTAGAAAGCACATCTTGTTAACCTCAGTGATAGACTTGTCGTCCAGAGGAAAACGTTGCATCCGTTATATTCTCCTAGTTGACACTTAACTCTTCTCCTGACAATATTCCTACGTTTGGTGTTAAAGACAACACCGACGTATTCTTCCAAATCAAAGCTTCTCTTCAGGCAGTTGTTGGGAAATGAAAGAGACATTTTTGCAATGAACTTGAAAACAACTTGAGTATTTTATTCCAGCATTTCTTTTAATCGAGTAAACTTTTATTCAACCAAGTCTTTATCAAAGTAAACGTTATTGTTATTAAACATTTTAAACTAGTCATACATTTGATATGGTCTTACCACTGGCGTGCACCGATAAATCGGCCCCAATTTCCTTAATTATCCGAAATCGTCCAATACTTGATTGAGAAACTGATTTTACCAATGCTTTTAGTTGGAACTGAACTTCATTTATATTTCAGAGCATTACCTCATGGCCAGTTAAACAAGTTTGTTTTGTTTCTAGGATATTTCCTGATGCATGCTCAATAATCCAGGTAGAAAAATCTAAAAAAGTTAAATCTGGTCCTCTGGCCATTCAAAAAAAACAAAGGCCAAAAGGATGGCCCAGCACAGAAGATCAACATCATCAGGCCAGGACTCTGCGGTCTACACTCATCTCTAGGCCAGCGGTCACTCTTTCAGGGATGAAGATGTTCACATCCTGGACAGAGAGGAACGATGGTTTGAGAGAGGAGTAAAGGAGGCCATCTTTGTGAAAAGAAACCGTCCATCATTAAACAGGGGCGGAGCCTCCAGGTTCAACTGTCCCCCTCTTACAATGCTGTGATTGCTAGTATCACTCAGCCCTCTGTGAACAGTAAACAGCCATCAGGTGCTAATGATACATTGTTAGGCTTATGGTCCTTCTTGAGCATGTTTTGGTTGTCAGCAGCAAACTGGTTGATCCACTCTGAGAAGGTGCTATTTAAGAGACTGAGCTGAAAA